ACCCAGTTGGTTGAGTGTTGGACTCTTGATTTCTGCTCAGGTCATGATCTCAGGGTCCTGTTATCCAGCCTTACATGTGGCTCCATCCTGGATGGAGAGTCTGCTTGTGATTGTCTCTCTCCCTCTCCCTCTAGTCCTGTCCCAGTCCTGTGCTCTCTCTCTCAAAATAAATAAATAAATAAATAAATAAATAAATAAATAAATAAAACAGTACATCTAAATACAATGTAATTAGTTATTTTCTATATCTACTTAGATCACAGACTAAGTAAACTTATAAACTGAATCTTTATAGAAAGTACAGAAACATCTTTGTATGAATTATTTTTTTTAATTCAAAAAAACTTCCATGGGACACAAAGTCACTAGCCAAAGTGCATATGGATTTAAATTTAGATGATGTCTCAAGTATTCTTATAATTTAACTTCACTTTAATGGAAAACATTAGATAGGAGTTCTTTTATAAAATGTTAAATTAAGGGGGAAAAGAGAAAGGCAAACCATAAAGGACTCTTAACTATAGGGAACAAACTGAGGGTTGTTAGAGGGGAGGTGGGTGGGGGATGGGCTAAATGGGTGATGGGTATTGTATTGAGCAGGGCACTAGTTGTGATGAGCACTGTGTACTGTATATAAGTGATGAATCACTAGATTCTACACCTGAAACCAATTTTACCATATATATTAACCAACTAGAATTAAATATATATAAAACTTGAAATAATAAATAAGTAAATAAATAAATATTAAACTAGCATATCTTTCGTGGTTTCATTTTCCTCTGTTTTCTTTAGCAACAATTCAGAATTTCTTCAGTCATAAATCAAATAGCACAGTTTAAGACTGTTTTAAAGCCTATAAATCTATTCTTAAGGGAGCCATGAATCCAGATTACAAACACTCACTTTCAAACTACTGAGTGAATTGATTTATTTTAAAATACCACTTTATTCCACAGACTGCTCAATAACCTTATGACATGAATAACTTCAATAAAAAAGTTGAGAGGAAGTTGAATTAGGTCATTTTGGAGTGTGTGTGTGTGTGTGTGTGTGTGTGTGTAGAGTGTGGAAAAGAATGTTTGATATTTATTGTGATCCTGACACTTCTTGACTTTCTGAAAACGATGAAAGTAATTAAAAGTAATTTTAGGCGTAGGAAACATTTTCTCATTTATAAAGCTGCCAATTCTTATTCTTTTGAAGAAATATTTTTAGCCTTTTTAAAAAACCATATTGTTTGATAAATATTTGGAGAATAATATAACTTTAAAAATAATAATGCCTTAAAATTATATGAAAATTATTGATTAGATTTATGAATTTTTTATTTCCTCATTGAACTGTATGAATATGCTCCTGAAAGCATTTCATATAAAATATATATTCATCCATTCAAATTGCTATAACAAATCACCATAGGCCGGGTAGCTTATAAACAACAGAAACTGATTGTTCACAGTTCTGGAGACTGGAAGTGGGAGATCAGGGTGGCAACATGGTCAGGTGAGGACCCCCTTCTGACTGCAGATTTCTCATTTGTTTAACCACAGGGCAGAAGGCGCTAGGGATCTCTCTGGGGTCTTTTTTCTAAGGTCATTTACCCCATTCATGAGGACTCCACACCTATGGCCTACTAAAACCATCACCTTTAGGGGTTAAGATTTTAACAAATTTTAAGATTTTAACATATTTTGAACATAACATTCAGATCAGACCATAACAATATGAAAATATCTTTTTTTTCATTCTCATAAGCATTAGTATTGTCTTGATTTTTCACATTAATAATTATATCAGTCTTCTGGTAATTAAAGTACAGAAACATCAAACCAGATTCCTCTCATTATTCATAGAAATGGTGAAGAATAATTTATAGAAGCAGGGTAGGGCAATAAACCTCCACTTTCAGTTATATATTGTTCTCATCTTCAAATTCATGAAACTTTAACCAAGGAATCTTTACCCCCAAGGGTTTGTTCTAGCACCTTGATTTCTTGTGAAATATGGTCACTGATAGAGAAAACTGCATCACAAATATGAGTCATTCCCTCTCTTTTTCGTACCCATTTCTCACTTTTATATAATCCCTCATAATTATTTCTTCTTCTTTTCTCTCTTTTATTGTCTCTTCATGCCAGATCATGAGCCATAATATTAACTAACATTTAGTAAGCATTTGCTGAGACAGGCACTATATTAATATTGCTCTTTTCAAGTATTATCTCTTAGATCTTCTGAAAAAACACTGTGGGCAAAGTAAAAATATAATTACTATTTTTCAGATAGGGAAATGGGGATAAACTTAGACAGTTTATGTAACCTGGAGCACTGAGCTGATTAAGTGGTGAGACATTGTACTTAAACCCAGGTCTCTCTGATGGCTAGCACACTTGCTTTAAAATTGTATCACTCTGACTCTAATTCAGGAAAAGGTCCTATGATTAAGGCACTTCTGTGTCTCCCAGCAAACTATTTCCACTAGATCATAGTGTGACACGTTCAAAACACAATAGAGTCAAATCAGATGATGAAATGACAGCAAGAAAGTATACTTATAAATGGACCTTTTTTAAAAAACACACAGGCATACACAATATTCCGTACCCAGGAATAGAATAACGAATGTTTATTTCCATTGAAATTGATATTGTCAAAAATCATTTTAACTTGAAATATTAACATTGTTATATGTGGAAATTTATAGTTGGCACATTTTCTTTATACATTAATGTACTATAGGAATTTGTAGGGCATTTCTTGAGGTAGAAGATGGGTATTATTATTATTCTCATTTTACATAGTGATTAAGCAGTTTTGTTGTAGGAACAAAGCTAGGAAGTATTCAAAATATCATTCAAATTTGTAATCTTACACATAAAATTCAGTGTCCTTTTCATTATGTCATATGGAAGGATGAGAGAAAGACCTACAAATTCCAAACACATAGAGAACAATCTATGTGTTGTCAGTTCATTTCTTAAAATTAACCCTAAAATCCTTCTAATTACTTTTTGCTGTACTTACAGTGAAATATACAAAGAAATGATACTTATTTTATTGAGTGACAAAAAGGCCTCTTGAATCCTATAGATTGTATGTATAAATCATGTTATTCTTTTCTAAAGGAAGTTCAAAACAATGATGAATAGGGTATTCAGTAATGTTTAACTAATATACATATAGACTTCATCTTTTAGATGCTTACTTGATACAATTCCTGGTATACATAACTAAGAAAAAGCATTCACAAAGACAAATAGTGTTTCATCCTCTACTTGAATTATGGGACTGGCAAGGCTACTATTTCCACATATATGTAGGAAATCAAACTATTACTCACAGAAGCCAATGACTAGAAAGATCACTTCAAATAAATGTAAAATTGTGATTAACTAAACTCTGCAAGACAAATGTCTAAATATGAATGTTTTCATTTTTGCTACAGAGTACATAAAAACTGAAACTACTGAACAAAGACTGATATTCTTTACTGATGGTAGATATTACTCAAGGGTTTATATATTTTTCTTTCACAGAAGAGGGTTTTCAGTATATTATCAGGTAGGTGAGACTAGTGGAAGTTAAGATTTATAAAGGTGTCCATTATTGTAAAACCATGCAGCTGTCTACATTTTAATACTTGCAGTTTAAATTCTATATATCAAATAAGTTTTCTGAAAATATTTAATAAAATGCTCTCTTATTGTGGAGACTTGAAAGTTAAACTGTTTTTAATATTGCTTACTGTTTTTAAACAGAAGTAGGGAAGAATATTTAAATTTTTCATTGAATTTAAGTGTGAGATAGTTTCATAGCTTGCCAGTAGGAATTGTACGCAAATCATTGACTGAGACTCCATAATTTATACTCACTTTTAAAGGATTTTATTGGATCTACCTCTTGACCTTAGTTAAATTGGTAATTTAAACTCTATTACTTTACAAGTTAACAAACATGCATATTAGAGCTGAATTTCAAACTTTAGTCAATAGAAGGGAAACAGAGTTGGCAGATTCATGAATGTTGGTGTCATGCACAGTATAATTCAGGAAGCTGTCCATTTGCATTTGCATGGTTTTAGTTAAGTAAGACTTCCTACTTTGAACTATGTTGCATTTCATTTAACTTTCTGGTATGAAAAGCAACAGTTTGAAACAGGAAGGTCTTATTTTTTAAGGGCCTACAATCAAAGGAAAGCTTCTTACTTTAAAATCAGATTTAGTAGTATAGAAGTAAATTAAAATAGACTTTCTGAATTTGTTCATTGTTTTTCCTTCCTCTGGAGAATAGCCTGATTTAAGTATTTTTGTGTGATTCTCGAATGCATTTGTGAAATTTAATATTTACATTTTTCACTTAGGATACTGAGAATGGTTCCTGAAATACGTTTTAATGTTTTAATCAAAAAAAGGTTTATGTGGTGAATAACTAATGTATGAATTAAATAATAAGAGCTTTTTATTTTCTTCTGGCTCAGAATAGTGAATTAAAAAAAAAAATCACATTTAACAAAGTTTCATCCCAATGCCATCTTTAGAAAAAGCAATAATTTAAAACCCTTTAAAAATATTGTTAATTCCAAAAGTAAAACAATTTTCATAATTTTTATTTAAATTTCATATAAAATACATTTGTAGGTTTAGAAAAGTCCATTACATTGACTTTATTTGAATTTAAATTTTTTTTGTTTATTTATGGTCCAAACAACTCTGCGAGCTAGTCATTTTATAGCAGGATGCATGAGAAGTTAAATCTTTTCATAAAACCATATACTGGAGATGCAAAGCTATTTTATCCGCTTCATATATAAGTTCAGTGTATTTTCAAATAATATTTTTAGTAACAGCAAAGTGAATCAATGATTATAATTTTGTTTTTTCTGTGAAAACTCTCATGAGATATATAATGATACCAAGTTATTGGCAAAATTATTAGCCTATCTCCAGTTTTCAACTGTTCCTAAAATAACTAACTATCAATATCCATTTCCTTTAAAGTCTCAGATATCCATCAGCGTAGAAGAGTGGGAAGACACCAAAGACTCCAAAGATCAAAGTCATCACCGAAGCAACCACCGCAACTCAACCTCCAGTGACCAGTCAGACCATCCCTTACTACGGAGAAAGAGCATGCAGTGGGCCCGAAGACTGAGCAGAAAAGGTCCAAAACACTCTGGTAAAACAGCTGAGAAAATAACCCAGCAGCGACTGAACCTCTACAGGAGGTCAGAAAGACAAGAGCTTGCTGAACTTGTGAAAAATAGAATGAAACACTTGGGTCTTTCTACAGTGGGATATGGTATGCTCTTTAAAAGTATTGTATGCTATGGACTTGTGATTCTTGCCATAGTCTTTGCATAGTTGGTTCCAATTTAGTAAGTTAAGAATCACATTTTTGTTTCACAGGCCAGTTTGAAGGAACTACTGAGACATATCTAATACAGAAAATTATAGTGATGACAGTGAAAGTAAATGCTAAAAGTGTTAAGTATTTGTCAGTTCTCTAGGCACTCTGCTAAACTTATTATGTGAATTATCTTAATTTTAATTTTCTCCAAAACTCTTCCATTTTAGAGAGAAGGAAACTTAGTCAATAACCTGTTAATTAGCTTCTTAATACCTTGTCTGATATTTAGATCCCATTCTGTCATGCGCGAGCTCTCTCTCTCTCTCTCTCTCTCTCACACACACACACACACACACACACACACACACACACCCAAACCACATCTTTTTCTAGAAACTGGTATAAAATGAATTTGAGGCATTGGCAAGTAACTAAATAGACCACACGCAAATGAACCAAAATGTTTCCATAAAATTTGTTTAGTTCCTTGTGGTCCAGAAACAAAAGTCTTCAAAAGCTTTAATTTGAAGCTCAAATACTACTTGATTTCATATAATATAGATCTGCATCAATAATTATTAAGTTCCTGTGTTGATCTATGATCGCCATAGAGACCAAAAAGCATAGCTTAAATAAATAATGCAAGGATAATTTTAAAATATATTGATTACTACTCTATGAATTTTATTTAAAAAAGAAATTTAGTCAACTTAGGGTAAAGCCAAATGATAAATAAAGCAGGTTTTGTTTTATATATATAACTTGAGTAAACCAGAAGCTAAGATAATATAAATATCTTGCAGGTTAAGGATAAAATGGAATGCATTCTATATTTGTCCCATCTCATCTTTATTATTAAAGTCTCAACTTGAAACAACGTATATAGGGAGAAATTTTAATTATTGAATTAGAGAGTTTAAAAGAAGTTAACCTTCAAGAACTATGCTAGGTTCTTTATGTGTATTTTTCTCATTACTCTTCATAATCCTGAGTGGATAGGTGTCCCACTTTACCCTAAGAATTTGAAGCTTAGAGCTTAAAGACCTTGTTCAAGGACATACAGTTGAAATGTGTTGGAGTCAAGATTCCATATATAATTGAAATAATTATTTATCACTTACTTAAATGTGATACAGACTCATCTATTACCAGTAATTTTAATATAATCACACACAGTCTTACATGAAGAGTAAATTCAAAGAAAAATAGATCTTCCTTTTAAAAACTATATTAATAGCTCTTTGCTAATGTGATGACAGTATGATTGTATTTCTTATAGAACTATAGTCCTTTATTTATGTGTACTTTTGTTAGTTATTATTCAGCTACTCTTTCTTTTTTCGGAAAGTTCTAGTAAATGATTGTTCATCCAAGTTCCAGCTGTGTTTCATGAACATTGTAACTCAAGTCTGGTCCTGTAAGCAGTGTGACAGATAACATTTGACTCTAAGAGACACAAAAATGCATGAACTGGATACATGGGAGAATCATCAGGGAACATATTATGTTTTTGCTAATGAAACTTCTATCAGGTACCTTGCATTTAGTTATTCTCTGTGTTGTGTGTTTTTCTTTTTTTTAATTTATAAATTTGTTAATTTAATTCTCACACTAACTCTTACAGAAAGGAAGAATGGATATTGTCCACCTTCTTTTTTTCTCTCTCTTTTCATCTTTCTTCCTCTCACTGTCCCATTCTAATCATCTATTCATCCCTAGGTCCATCAATCCATTCTAAGGCCATGCACTAGCCACATTTAATAACATAAAGATTATGAAAACAGGATTGGGATCTAACACATCGTGAGCTTCTGGACTTCTCCAAGTGTTCCTAACTCACAATAATTCATCCATGCAACAGATATTATTGGCCTACACTGGGAATAGAATAATGGTCTATTCACACAGGACCTCTGCCTTCGTGGAACTTATTTTCTAATATCAGCCAGTAGACTCACTGAATTATTTAACCTCTCTAAGCTTCTTTTTATCACTGTGAAATGGAATAATAATGTCTGTCTTACAAGTCTCTTGTGAGGGACAAATGGGATAATGAAGAATAATGTGCTGAGCCCAGAACTGGCATTCAGTTGACACCACCAATCTTCCATATACTGATTTAAGTACTACTGTATGTACATCTGTGCTTTACACATAAAAGGAGTAGGTTTTGTTTTTTTTTTGTTTGTTTGTTTTTGTTTTTCTTGGCCTACCTCAACCAAACCAAACCAAACCAAACCAAATTTTGCACCCTCAGGGCAATTTTGCCTCTACTGAGGATGCATGCTTTCAAACAATTTATTTTTTTATGTTTGCTTTCCTTCCTTGAGAGAAAGGGAATGTCTTACTCATCTTTTCATCTTTGTATCCCCAACATATCACACATTTCCTGACACATAGGAACCCAGTAACTGCACTTTGAATGCGTGAACAAATGGAGTGCTTACAGGTGAGAAAATAGGGTCTCAAATATAAATGATTTCCTAGCCTACTAGACAGTCAAGTCAGTACTCTAACTTAATACTTTTGATTCTGTGTCTCTTTATGTTCCCACTATACCACATGTTCTTTGTACATATCATCAATATTTTATAGTGATTTATAGTTGAAAAATGTTTTTACATACATTTTTAAAAATGCATGATGATTGATTTAACCATAAGTCATAATCTGCTTTTTTCTGAGTTAGGGATGACATGCTCCAAAAGAATGAATAGATTACTTTTGACCTCTTGGATATGAGACATCAAGGAGAGGGAAAGGGAAGAGTTAAAAGATGACTTTTGAGTGTTTTTGTTTGAGGAATTAAGCGTATGGTGGTGACGTTCTCTGAGCTTAGAAAAAGAAGACAAATATGTTGGGGTAAATATAAATTTAACTCAGTCCTAAGTAGGTGATGCTGTGAAAGAAGATGAATATCTGCTGTCTGGTTCTCAAGAAAAAGAAATGAGATGTTATATAGACTTGAGACTCTACATGCTGATAAAGCATGTGGATTTTAATTAAAATCATAGGAGTAGTTGAAATAACCACTGGTGAGGACTATAAGAGTACTTTGGAAAACATTTGAAGAATGTTAAGGGAAGAAATCTTTTTTAAAAACAAGAGACTGAAATGTCTAGAACTGAAATGCCCAAAATATGATAGTATGCTATTAATTGGTTACATGTTTTATCATGACATTGATCCTTTATGCTTTCAGAAGGCCATGTGGGGCCTGGGGTGGTCAGAGGCACTCCTCAGGCTGGTTACTTCCAGCCATAAGCAGTTTTGTCTGTTACCCCACTGTGAGTACAAATATCATTTCTTATGTGTACTATGATGTGAAAAAAATGTTGGAAAGTATTGGACTGAGATAATGATTGATAACATCAAAGAGTGTTATTGAGTATAGTGATAGATTATGGATGGACCTTGGTGAAAGTAGTATCAGTTAAATGGTATGTGTGCAAGCCAAATTTGAGTAGCTTGAGGAATGATATGAGGTAAGGATTTGAATATAGTGCATTTAAATATATTAGAAACCCCAAGGTATTGGAAATTTAATGTTCTATCTCATTGCTTTATCATTTATTGCTTCTATTGCTAAAGTCATGTCACAGTACAAGATAGATGTGGGAACTCCAATTATTTTGTCCGCATTGCATCAAGTAGGAAGGAGGGAGATACCAGAGAAGGAAAGATCTCTTCAGTTAAAACATACTGTTAAGTAACTGCACTCACCATTTTTGCTATGTCCCATTGGCAAGGAATATGTCTTATTTTTGGTGGCCCAAATCTAACGTTAAAGATGACGAGAAGAATTTCACTACTGAGAGACAACTATCTGTCTAGCATAGTAGATACTTTTTAAGAAGTTTCATTGTGAAGGAGAGGTGAGAATATGAAGCTAACTGATGAGAAAGTGGAGAGGGAAGAGAAACTGTTTGTTTTGAAGATCAGAGAGAAATGAGCATGTTTTTTAAGTTTGAGCCATTAATGAAGAAGTTGAAATACAAGAAAAAGATCCTAGTTGGAACCTTTTGCTTAAATAATTGGAAATGAGGAAATACTCGTGTTTTAAATGCAGTAAACTTGTAGGTGTTTTGACAGGAAGGTAAGTAACCTTTCATGTGATATTGCATAATATACATGATATGGCCAATATTATTTTCTAAATCTAAAAATTCAATTCTAGAACACATCTGGCCCAAAGATTTGAAAGATGGAATTTGAGGGACTCTGTATTTTGGTAAAATAGCTAAAGTGAAAATCTCCAAATTCTGCTTGCTTCCCATTGAATTTTTGGGAGAAATTTCTTCAATATAATTTCTAAAACTTCCTCTCAAAATTCATGGCATTGTATACAAACTAGCCATGTGTTTTTGGTACAAGTCACTATCGCCCTGAAATTCATGTTCTTTAACCATCAAATAAGGATAATAAAGTCTTCCTAAAGGGGTGTGGTATAAAATAATAAAATGTATGTAAAAAAAAACCTTTTTAATCTGTAAGCTACCTGCAAATATGAATAATTATACTTTTCTTTATGTTCATAGCTGGCACTATTCTTCAACAATCTATTTAGAATAGCTCTCACTTTCACAAAAAATTATTCTTTCTAACTTTTGACAGATTCTTAATGATTAGTTCACAGAATGGCACACACTATTAAGTATAAAGTGGCAAGTAAGTCTTCCCAGTGTGACTGCTCCTATGGGTGTTAACCAATTTTGACATGGATTGTAAGCTTCATACTGTTACTAGAAGATGAAATGCGAAGGTAGAAAAAAAAATAAAATCCTTTTAAGTGACAAAGAAATAACTAGTAGTTATCCACTGACTTTCATTACACCTATCAGAAGGTCTTAGTTTCTTTCTAAAGTAGATTTATAAATGCCTGAAATAATGGACAAATTAAACAAGTGCTGGTTTATTTTTTGTTTTTGTTTTTGTTTTTGTTTTGTTTTGTT